CATATACATACATACAATATATATGTATACATATATCTATACATAAACATATATGTATATATATAAGTAACCAATATGTAATGAAATAGTAGCAGATCTATTAACAACATTATCGGTACATAGTGCCATCTCCACATCATAGACAATTGTAAAGTTAAAACTAAAGCACACGCACAATCTGTCACACACACTATTCACACTGAAGCCACTGCAAATCTATTTTTGGACGTACCCATCCATTGTATGGTGTTCCATATTTCTCACATACTTTCACTACACACACATGCCTTTTCACAGACCAAAAGTGACGTACATTACGAATGCTTCTAATACACACACATATCTTGTATTTCATACATTACGCATGATTTTCGTACACACCCACACCTTTACACAGACCAGATGTGCGATGCACTCATCCACTGCAACGGTTACATCTGCAGCCTCGCGTCTCTCACGCGCTCTGATCGCTTTGCGTTCGCGTTTACTCAGTGGCGGTTGTGGCACTGGTGTGTTGACGGTTTCTATTGGGAATTGTATGACACATATGAGAGGCATGAGCACTATACCAGGACGTGTGGAAAGTACACAATACATATGGGTCGTCTTAAAAGATGAGTCATATATATATATATATATACAGCACGAGAACTACGTATGACACATCTGGAAAGCATGAGTACTGCATTAAGATATATGAAAGGCATTTATATTACATATGTAATTACATTTATATTACATATGTGATTACATTTATATTATATATGTAATATAATGTAATTACATTTATATTACATACGGAACATGAAGTATGATTATTATATACTACCAATATTCGCAAATTGTCCCAAGTATCTCCATCTAAAGCGTGCCGATTCTCGGCTGATCCGCAAACTCCACATACAACGAGCCGCGGAAATAGAGAAGAACATCGAACATCGAACATTGTGTTAAAGCGGTTACCAAAGAGATGTGTTGGGTAGCTATAGCACTGTTCACATCCCTACACTTAGCACTGCAGATGTCAACGTATCTGTCCCATACGCGATGTAGAACACTGGCGGCTATATATAGGGTTGTAAATAGCACCAGAAAAGAGCGAATACAATCACTTACACGCTTATCAATGGCCTGAATGCTGACGTCAGTACTACTCGCCTTCCCCAACACACGAGCCATACCTTTGCCATTGCTTGAGCGTGAGTCAGTCACTGCTTTAGGGTTTCGGGTTTGGCTGGCACATCCATCAGCACCAGCACTGCTGGGCTCAGCTGTCTCCTGCGGAGTCCTCTGCAACAGAGTCCAACCAGGGCGACACACCTGAGCACCAGTACAATTCATGCGATCAAACCTTGTGCAATGCGTGTACACAAAGACCATTGTAATATATGTACACCATTCAAAGATATGTAAACATAGACCATTGTAATATATGTAGACACGCTCTCTTTTTTATTGGCCGATTGCAAGTATCTTCTAAAATATCTCTAAAGTCGTGTGGGCAGTACGACAAAATCCGAGAAGCTTGGATTCAAGCAAGTACGCTTGCAGTACGCTTGCAGTACGCATATATATATATATATATATATATGTATACACACACATATATACACACACACACACACATATA